TGTGAGACACTCTTGAGCGACACTGTTGCGGGACACTCTTGTGGGACACTCTTGTGGCACACTCTTGTGAGACACTCTTGTAGAACACTCTTGTGGGAAACTCTTGTGGGACACTCTTGTGGGACACTCTTGTGGGACACTCTTATAGGACACTCTTGTAGGACACTCTTGTGGGTCACTCTTGTAGGACACTCTTGTGGGACAGTCTTGTGGGACACTCTGTGGGACACTCTTGTGGAACTCCTTGTGGGACACTCTTGTAGGATACTCTTGTGGGACAGTCTTGTAGGACACTCTTGTGGGACACTCTTGTGGGACACTCTTGTAGGACACTCTTGTGGGATACTCCTGTAGGACACTCTTAAGGGACACTCTTTTGAGACACTCTAGTGGGACACTGTTGCGGGACACTCTTGTGGGACTCTCTTCCAGCTCCCCAGATACTCCGCGTACTAAAGTTGTACTACAAGGTCGCCAGTTCTCAGCTTCCAGCTCCCCAGATACTCCACGTACTACAGTTGTACTACAAGGTCGCCAGTTCTCAGCTTCCAGCTCCACCGGACAAATCGCACTCTCGCCTGCATTTCGCGCACTCAACACGCACGATCTCCGCAGAGGGTTGCGCGCGCATGGGACAAATCGCACTCTCGCCTGCATTTCGCGCACTCGACACGCACGATCTCCGCAGAGGGTTGCGCGCGCATGGGACAAATCGCACTCTCGCCTTCGCGCACTCGACACGCACGATCTCCGCAGAGGGTTGCGCGCGCGTGGGACAAATCGCACTCTCGCCTGCATTTGGTGCACTCGACACGCACGATCTCCGCAGAGGGTTGCGCGTCAAGTCTCCAAAACGAGCGTTTCGTACGAGACTCGAGACTTCCTCAAAAACTCACACGTCAAAGTCTGCAAAACGAGCGTTTCGTACGAGACTTCCTCCAAAAGTCAAGCGGAAACACCCATCGGAGCACACACATCACGCAGCCCTGCCAAGCAGTTTCGCGATTCCAGCCCCTCCAAACAACATCCGCTCACACGCCAATCCCAATGGGACAGCGACATTCACCTCTACCACAACTCACAACCTCACGATTCCCTGCGCCTGCCACGAGAATTGCACTTCCGCGCTTCAAAGCCCGCACGAAGTCCTGCGCCTGCCACGAAAAGTGACAATATCATCGCATGTGAGCTTCAACAAAATTTGCACCACACCACACGTTTGGAATGATTTCGACCCGTTCAGAGCACACTCCCATCCATCAAAATCGCCATTTCAGCTGAGGTCACGAAAACAGAGCTTCGATGCCACACCCTGAAACGCAAATCCCAATGGCACGGCCACATCCAACACCCCAAAAACACGACTCTCCAAGCGCTAATCCCAATGGAACTGCGCCGTAATCTGCGGATCTCACAAAACGCTGCGCCTGTGCAGCGAAGTGCATCACGTTTCTTGCGCGACATGTCCGTGTCATGCAAATCACAATGGAATAGCGGCGCAAACTGACACGTGACACGTCCATGCAAAGTCACTTGCAAAAGCTTCCCCCAATGGCAGCAAATTTGAGACGCGACGACGACGAGAGACGACGAGAGACGACGACAGACGACGAGAGACGACGAGAGACGACGACAGACGACGACACGACGCAAGCCACGCGAACACAGCTCCAACCCCCAGACCCCCAACTATAAACGGGAACCCTTCGTTACGCATTCGGGAAAAAAATCTAGCCCCCAATCTGGAAGCTGTACTGGGCCTACCCAGTAGAGAGTGTTGGCATCGAAGTGACTGTGTTTTGTACCCTGGGCAATGTAAAATTCAGATATTTGTTCCTTGGTGTGGATGTGTTTGAGGTGTCAGATGTTCAAGTACTTTCTCAAACAGAGGTTGGGATGAGGAGAGCATGGAGAGACGTTAGACACTCAGGTGGCGGATCAACCATAGAAACCCAAAGACTGGGTGGTTCACGGATACAGTAGTTTCAGACCAGGTGGCACAAACCCACCACTGGTAGATTCTTTAAATAAGCCACTTTAGTTTGATGGACCTTCCTGTTCAATTCTCCATTTCGGTGGCCCCAAATAGATCACACTGTTCACTGGAGCTACACGGAGTCAAGCAAAGCAGCCCCCATGTTTGAGTGTTGCTCTAGCAAAGCCACCGAATGATCGACTTGGTCCTCCAATGGCTGCTTGACATGTTTAAAGATGTGTTGAAGTCCCGACAACACACGTGACCTACTTACCTCTCTTATTCTCCTTATGGCTCAGATTCTCATGTTAAACTACAGTAACTATATCAAACTTATTGCTTGGCTGACCTGTCCAGGGTGTTTGTCCGTGTTCGTTGCAGTGCTGCTCGCACTGCTTGCCGCTCGTTGAGGTGGGCATCGCACGGATAGCTCGTGGAACACATGACATTCCAGAGGAAGAGGGCCAGAAGCGCCGCTGGGCGCGGAAATGCTGGGTATACGGGGGCACGGACGCTACTACGGGCGCCTGGCCTTACTACTAGGAGCAAGAAGCTACTATATAGTAACAAAGCGCATCGCTACCAGGACGTTCTGTCAGTTTCTGTAGCTTAAAGTTCAAAAATAAAATTCCCTACTGGGCGGGACTGTTGGAGGTACAACCGCAGATGTCAAGGATCAGTGGCAACAGCAAGGTCTTGGTTGTACATCAAGGCATTTCTCAGTCTGTTGACTCAGTTTGTTTGAGTTTATGCATCGCTTCTTTTTGTTGGTGATAGCCGCTTTGTTGTATCAGGTGCAAACTGTTTCGAAAGCCTTGATGAAGCCAGATTGTTCACAAATCAGCTGATTCTAGCAGCGCTTATACTTCCAAAAAAGAATTGGCCTCTATCTTGAGGTGTGGACTGGTCGTTTGAGGGAATCCATGAAGTGATTGTTCCTTTTTTTTGCTCATGGTGGGATGCTTTTGAGCCCAAACTGGACGCTATTTAGAGGTCCAAGCGAGTGGGCAAAATGGGTGGTCCTGATATGTCCTGATAAGGCATCTATTTGGTGCATGACAACAGGACATATTTGGTGCAACGACTCTGGAGCTCCAATTCAAGAGTTGGATGTGTCTTTTGAGTCCTCTACATTTGAGTTCTCTCAACAATGGGTACTCAACAAAAAAAAACTCAAGAAACCCAGACCATCCAGTCTGACTCTTCGACCCCACCTGAACGTCATCATCCACCCACACCGTAGGGTATTCCATGGGTCATGACGGTCGGCACGAAAAAGACGACCATGGGTCATGGCTGGGTCGGCACCGACCGTGAAAGGCGACCCATCGACTCGTGACGCTCACGATGTTCCTCCGAACTGGATGTAAACAATGCTTGAACTGGACAGTCGACTATTGCAGTCGAGTTTTTTGTAGGTCCTATATAGGTCCGGTCCCCAGGTCCAACAGGTCGGAATAGTACGAGGCCCCTTTTTTTTGGGTGCCCTTTTGCAGGTCTAATTAGGCAGAAACCAGCTGTACCAAAATGTGGTGAGGCTGTTGTGCCTTATGACTAAGGCCAGAACAAGTTACAGTATACATCCTGAAGCAGTAGAAGCTACAGTAATATCATCATCATTCCTTTAATGTCATTGCAAACCTTGGGTTTGTTGGCTCGTTTTGTGCAACATTGTTTCTGGTCCGGCAAACTCAGGTGCTACAAGTCTCCCACCCAGGATCGTGCCAGAGGAGGGTGCCGCCGCATCCACTTGGCGTGGCTGGGCCGGGAGCAGGTGGGGAGGTTCCCCGGCCCCTGCACAAGGATCACACCGATGTACGTATATATAAGGTATGGAAGGTGTAGATTATATAATTAGATTACGAAAACACATGTGACATCAAGTGACTATGTCTCAGTTTACTTCACAAGGTTTCAGAGGGTATAGAGTTGTGGTGCATTTCAACCTCTTTGTCACCAACATTGCAAGGTGGCTATACTTCATGGGTGCCAACCTGTCGCAGGTTGTGCCAGCATTCTGTGACCAAGCATTCCTGTTGGATGCTTGCAAGTCCCATTTGCAAGGTTCTTTTTGAATTGCTTGTATCAACACTCAAAGTCCAGGAAGCAGGCTACCGGTTAGGAACAGTCCTCCCTCCGCGATCGGGTTTGCTGAACTGTGGGAAACTTCAGACACCTTCCCAATGCTTCACACGCGCTCAGGTTATGTGATCCAGTTCGGGAACAATTCTGGCGACCCGGCCGCATAACACTCGGCTCTTCGAGGCTTAATCAGGTCTCGAGACAGCTGTTCAGAGGGACGGGAAAGAAAGGGCAGCCAGGAGCTATCAAAGTTGGCTATAATAGCTATAAAAGTTGAATCATGTTGAATCTATGAACTTGACAGGTATGGCTGACCAAAAGTTGAATCATGTTAAAGCAAGCTACTCATGCTGACCCCATGCTTGACCTTTGTTTTGATAGGACACAGTGGCCACACGAGGCATCAGGAACTGCTCTACTGACCCTGAGGATGGAAGCTACTGACCCTGAGAATCCGTAGAAGGACTTCAGATAGCTTCGTGCGAAGAACCAATTCATTTCACTGAAGATGACCACAAGAAGCCACGTAGGATGGTCGCCACTGACATTTCCTCGCAAGAGATTTATCGGGGCAGCGGCCCTCTCGGCGAATGCAAATTGGGATTCAGTCCACGGGATTTGAGGAAGAGCCCTCCTCTGTCTCCAAGCCCCCATCAACAATATACAACAGCAACATGCGACCATCCCAGATGCGGAAGGAAGCTAGATCCTTCTCCAACCAAAAGAGCATTCTTCGCCTGAATCTCCTAGCAAACCTCACCAAAAGCATTCAAGCACATACTGTATTACATCCCAGATATCCCAGATTTGCATAGATTTACCATAGATTCCATCCTTGAATAATTGAAAGCCATATCCGATTGAACTCTTTTCGAAAGAACCCATGCGGCTCACCATCCCCCGTGCGGCTCACCCTCTGTTCCGAGGTGTCCTGCGGCAACTCATGCGCGCGCGGCGCATCTGCTGGGCTCCCGCTCCGGGGGATCCGGGACACTCCGCGGGAGGCGGCTCGTACCAGGTGGGGCCGGGCAACCTGATGTGACATGGTGCCGGGCAAGTGACGTAGTGTTTGTCGCTTTGGTAAAATATGAAAAAATAGAAGAGTGTCAGGACAGGTGTGTGTATATATATATATAGTTTCTTATAATATCATAGACGCACTGTAGATCATAGGCATTAGTCAGAGCAAACGTTTTGGCCCCGTGGTCTTGAATGATCCCAACCTTAGTTTGATGGCCCAGTGTTATTTTCTTTGGTTCAGTCTAGCTTCAAGGCCAGTGCGTCAAGAAGACTATCCCCCGAATTCTCGTAGCTTGCTGTTCCACAGGAACAAAGATACGCACTTCTGAGCACTCGCCGTAGAAAAGGGTCACCCACGGAATGGTGCGATGTTTTCTTCTCAAAAGCTTGAAGATCACTTCCACCGTGAGGAGTGCGCAGCTTTGTTTGTCAGTCAAAGAAAGCCCATCACTGCCAAAGACAGGGTCGACCTGATCAAATGTGTTTTATGTAAGCATATATTGTGTGTATTATATATATATATATATGTAACTTGTGTTCATGCAGAGTTGTTGTCCTGCTGAGCAGTCAGGAGCGGCGGGTCAAGCTGCAGCTCGGAAGTGGATTGAGGCAGAAGTGGGTTTGGTCAGATGTTGTGCTCTTATGTTAGGCTGCGGGTCGACTAAAAAAGAAGAAGCAATAAGAACATTTGGATTGTAAAACCTCTCCCACCACACGCGCACACGAAGCTGGATCCCCAAGCTCCTGTATATTGCCGCCCGCTTCCATAAGGCCGGCATTACAAACCCAAAGAAAGATGGATCAGGATCACCAGTTGAGAGCGAATGAGAAGAATGGCATGCAGCCTTTCAAAAGGTCACTAGGCATGGACTTGCCCCAAGACCTGTTGCCATGGGCGTTGTGCTTGCCTGGAAACACACTGCCTAGAAACTTGCGGCGCAGATGGAACGAGAGCTCATCTGAGAAACACCGAGCCCGATGGCCTTGCAAGAAAAGAATTGCCAGTTCAGCATATGAAGTCTCAAGGTCATCATCGCTACGGACCAAATCGGCAGTCCACAAGATGAGTTTGCGCAACGCCATGAAGTAGGGGCATGGAGAGTGAGTGAGCCCGGATGCAAGCGTCTATGAAACCAGTCATCTCAATGCAGCTTAAAGTTCCAGTCCTGGATCAAGATCTATCACGTGGACTCGGCAAGAAGATGTCCGTACGAATGTAGCCTTCCAGCGCACTGGCAGTCAACCTGGAACTACAAAGATGATGCACATTTTCGGACTTGGTGATCACTTTTCGTGGCAGGCGCAAGGCAACCCTCGTGTTTTGTTGGTCCAAAGCTTAAGTCAACTTTTTGTGACAGGTGCAGGAGGTTGGAGCGGCTTCATGTCGATGTACACCTTTTGTGGCAGGTGCAGTGAATCATGACTTTTGGACATGTGGCGGCTTGTTTTTCAGAAATCGGAGGACGTCTCGAGCAAAAGCTGCGAAACCTGTAAGTACTGTAGTTGTTCTCCAGCTACCCAGGCCCTCTCCAGCTTTATATAGACGATTCTCAAGAACGTGTAGCGACTTGGCAGCCCTGCCACTGAGGAAGGCTACTGTTGACTGTCCTGAGATCAATTTTCTTTGGACCCAGCTGCTTAGATTGGCAAATGGGGAGGAAGGGTCAACATCAATTTGGTCATTGACATAGACATGAGTGACCAGTGTAATGTAGTAGGTCCTGACGTATGACCAATGGAATGGGATAAACTACAACTCATCAAGACACCAGATGATTGCGACAAAGGTTGACCTCTGGAAGTCAATCAAAACCACAAAGGTCTTGGGGCCTATGTCATTCTACCTTGACACTACAGGAATTCACCAAACGTGTAAAGGTCTTGGGGCCTCAGCTAGAGGTTCAGAATTCAGTCGAGTTTCGCACATAAATTTATACTGACAACTTGTAATGAGGGATGTGTTTTCTTTGATGAACAAACTCTACACCGCCACGCAGCCTATTTGGTGATCCTGAATATATAGCAAATAGATGTCTTCGGAGAAAACCGTTTCTATCCATTTGGACCTTTTTTTACATATGACACTCTTCAGATAGATGCTCGAACTGAGCGACTTGCAATGATTTCCGATTAAACATTACGGTAGCCCTTTATAGTATATTTATTTATAAACCAGCACCCTCCAACAGGTCACCACCTGCGACTTTTAAGTCTCCAAAAGCCGCCAGAGGAGACCTGTTGGAGGGTGCTGGAATACATATATATATAGTTATATATATATATGTATAATATATACTGCACTAGACCCTGAAAGGTTGAGGGACCGGGAGTTGCACACACACACATCAAGAACAAACACCTCAACAAACACCTCGCTTCACCGCCGTCCACGCCCTCACAGCACAGGTATCGCTGCTTGGCCTTTCTGAACGCCATGGCGTCCAATGTGTCGGGCTTGCGCGTTCAGCTGAACGAAGAAAAGACCTTGAAGCTCAAGGGGAGCAAAGCCAAAGCTAAGGCATCGCGGGAACGTCCAGCAATCCAGGATAGTCCTGAGTGAGAGATATCCTGATCTGACAACTGTAGGGGTCCATGAAAGGTTTGCGGCATGCTCAAGTTCAAGCGCTAGCCTCAACAAGCCTCATCCATTCTTCATATGTCGAGATCTTTCGACCTGAACTCGACGCCGTAGTAGGTGGCTGCGGGAAAGGTTCCATATCGCTCCCTACCGCGATCCAATAGCTCGAAACCGCACCCAGCAGCGCACCCAGCAGCGTGCAGGCCGCCCAGGGAGCAATCGATGCACCCTTTCGCTGCCACAATCATTTCGAAGGCCGGCAAGCGAGATGATCGGTCACAGAATCCGGTGGTTACAGGCTGCGGAAGTTGAGGAATTGATGCATGTTTTCCACTGGTCACCAAGCAAGCAACCAAGCAAGCAACCAATGGTATAGCCACAGAAGTTGTTGTTGTTGTTCTCCACCCCAATCGCTAAATCTTTGCTCCTCACGGCTCGTTGGCCGGACGACCTCGGACCGAAACGGGTTTTGGCTTCGAAGAGAAGACATTCCATGTTTGAACGCCCCGTTTGAACGCCCTGTTTTGTAGACTGATTAATAAACCATCAACGCCCCATATGAAGAGGATTTTCCAATTCAAGTGGGGGATTATATTATATTAAGCAAGACTCTACATTAAGGATGTGTTCTAAATTTCAACATCGTGTATATAAACAGGCAAACAGAGGTCAAACATGCAAATACAACATTCCATAACATTATTAATGATGTTTTTGGGGTTGCCTTGCATGTCTCACAACGGCTTTGGCCAAGAAGGGCGGAAAAAGAGGTCTCGATCATGCAAACCGTTACAACTCTTGATGACAGAAATTGGGCAGCACTTGAAATGGAGGCATGCTGCCTATCCCACTATTGACCAAGTGTCGGTTTGTGCCAGATGTGTTCCCGGAAACACGGGAATTGGAAGTAATCCAATTTGTTGGGGAAATCTGCAAGAAGTATCATCTCTTCCAGAAGTGGTTCGACGCAGAGGAGCCAGGTGTGGCCAACCATTTGTGGCGCAGTTCCATCATTTCCACAACCAGGTGATCACTCTCCCGCTCACTCACATGGAAGTGCCTGTTTCGTAGATGTTCGTAGAGCAAAATGGTCTTCCACGAAAATGGTCTTCCATGTTGGGCAAAATCCCTTCAAACTGTCAAGGGTTTGGGACTCTTTTGCTTCCAGGAAGCGGAGCGATCTGCACCAAGCGTGGGCTGTGCCACTCGACTGAGAAGGAGGACCGTAGTCTCAGCTGCCACTGCAGATGGGTTGTTGGTTTTGGAGTGGTCGGAGTCCTTCCCACTCTCCAAATCGACCCAAGAATCTTGAGAGAAACATCATCTTCGTTCATATTGGGTGCAGTAGCCCTTGAAACGCCAGCTGCACCACTTGAGAGAAACAGCCCATCTAATCTAGACCAACGACTTCAAGACTTCACATCCCACCGAAAGCACGACTCTTCACCCGACTTGTAGGGGCGCTACATCCCACCCGACTTGTTTCGGTTGGATGACCTGGTCCCACGATGTGATGACCTAAACATCAATGACCGGGGGACCAAAGACCGTGACGAGAAGAGCTTCGACGGCCTGCGTTGCGTCTCCAGCCCGTCATGGATGCAACGCTGGGGCCTGGGATCTTGGGAAGATCCGGCAGCCCAAGCAGCCCAAGGTGAGTCCATGTCAGCGTTTCTGATGAATGCCGGGCATGACCCTTTTGCTGCGATGCCATTGACCTTCATTGTGGAAAACAGCTCCGACCCACAGTGCCATGGCAAGACTTCGCGGTTTTTTGTGGATCTTGCAAATCTGATGAAATCTGTGTTCTGCGCAATGATGAAATGGCGAAACTTAGGCTCATACGAACCCAGTGGTGTCAAGCCAAAAGATCCAGAAGGTATATCCAAGATCATTTTAAAAAGGTTGACCTGGTTCGTAGAGTAAAGTCCTTTGGTAGAACAATGGTTGTTCGGCAAAAGCTATTATATACGTGTGACCATCGACCATTCAGCAATTTTTGCACCAAGGTTTGCCATGTTCGAGGACCGTGACCGTGATCCAGTTGAGCACTTCCATCGATCGTGTTGTGTTCACTGCTTTCAGCATGATCGGGTTGGAATAGAGAATGGTTGTGTTGAACATATCGCTGCAAGAAAAGCAGAAGCTACGAACGGGGCTCCTGGCCCTACTACTAGGAACAAGGACGCAACTAGGAACACTTTGGGCTGCTGAACTGTCCTCGTGCCTTTCACCTGGGCGAGAGACTTCACTCCGCCTCCGATCCGATTCAGGGCCCACCAGCCTCCTCTTCGGCCGCAGCCCGCGAACAGGAGGCGTACCAGTCGGCGGCCGCCGCGAAGCAACGCATCTGGATCGTGAAGCCCGCGGAGTGGGCCAACCGTGGCTGCGGCATCCGTGGCTGCGGCAGCGAGTGGAGTCCGGGGTCGGCGGTCCGTTCGGCGGTCGGTGCAAAGACACAGCATGGCAAGTGATCGAAGGCCGGACTTTTGTCAGCCAAAAACATCCACTGGCTAAACGTCCAAAGCTTACTGCAAATAGTTTGGAGGTGACTTTTTTTCTGGCACCAGAATGGGGTGATTCTGCAAGCATATTTGATTATAGAATGTGAATTGGGCAAGAACAGTGGGACTCTTCAGCCACATCCAACTCGCATGGTGGAGTTGTTCTTTCCAAGCAAATTGGATGTGCTTCAAGAGATGTTCTATACCTGCAAACACCAAACGGACCTGCAGGTGCAGAGATCATGTTTGATCCCAAAAGTCATGGTACTCACTGCACCGTGAGTCTGGATGGAACACATGCTCCTGTCACCGTGTTAGTGAAACTTCTGAGTTTTGAAGGACATCCTTAGTAAGTCATCCTCCTGTCATGCTGATTTTAGTTTGGATGAATTCACTTGGAAGAATTCAGAGTTCTGAGGCATCTACACCTCCATCGAGGAGGTCAGGGCCAGAGTGGATTCGAAGGAAAGGGCCTGGGCCATTCAGAAGTACATCGAGCGACCCCTACTGATCCACAATCGCTACTTGACTGAAAGAAGGGCAACTAGGCGGGCCCGTCCCACCCAAGGTGCAGAGCACTAGAGGAAGGCATGTGTGTTTCTAGCACGTAAAGCACGTAGGATGAGTGGGGAATAGTGGGGAGGGAGACCCTTTCTTTGAGCAGCAAATGATGTAAACGTCAGAAAGCCCCCGGTCGAAGTGTGGCACGCAACTGTGGGTAGTTCCGATGAGCTCTTTGAGGGCTGCCTTTGCTGCTGTCCCCTTTAAAACTGTTGCGATCAATGTGGATCACAAAATGACTTGTGAAGAGCCTTCCTCTGCTTAGATAAACTTAATATATAGTCTTTTGTTTTTGCTGAGACAGCATCTCTTCAAGCACTTCACCTTCGTTCTTCTTGAAACAAGGTTTTAATTTATCATTTAGTGACACACTGTCATAGGGGGCCATGTCAGAAGTTCGTATTTGGGACAAAGTCAGGTTTTCCCTATATGCTTGGTTAGGAGTTGATCCAAAAGAAGCGACAGCAGGTTGGTATACCTTGCCTATTTGCGAAGCTTCATCCGCTAATGGAAGAGTGACAAGCTGCCAAGCTGTTTTGCTTGCGAGTCCATGCAGGGATGCTGCATGCTACCTACCCCTTCAACACTCCAAGTGATTTGCCTCATCTGGCGACAACAAGCATAATAAATTATGAGCATGTGGCCACTCCATGCTGAGAGCCGAGCACGTCACGGAAAAACCAGGCAAAGTTTTGTGAGGTGTTTCGTCGCTACTCAGCAAGCACCGGCCCTGAGGCAAGTTTGACATCCGCGCGCAGCTCATCATGCAAGTTTGATTGGAGCTCCGGCTTTCTTTGGAATGCTATTTGACTCGGGGGTTCACTCGTGCGGAGTCATTGCGCAGTCTTCAGCAGGTTATTATGGCATCGTCCTTAGGATGGACAAAGCCCGGTGTGCCCGTACCAGTACCATTTGCGACGTTGGATCCCCAGCCAAAGCGGTCGGTGGCTATGTGAGGTTCCGACCGTCGAAAGGCGGCGGAAGAACGTGCTACATACCTGTGGAGCATCAAGAAGCTGTAGAATGGGCGTTTCTGTTTGGCAAGCATCGGTGCTTCGAGGTAGGTCATTAGCTTGATTTCTCAAGAAGAGCACGGATCAGCTCGGCAAAACCAGACATGCCCTACTGTTTGAACGTGTTTGAACGCTCGTCCGACTCGTCCATTGAAACGCTCGCTCCGTTGCTACTGGGCTCGAGATTCCTGGGCCACACGAACTGCGTGGCCCGAGAGATTTGTTTCCGCCGGTGAATCAGTGGGTTGGGTGACGCGACCATGACGGAGAAAGAAATGGATTTGTCAGGCGGGCCAACCGAACCAGACCAACCGAACGACCGGACGTTCGAATTCCACTGGGCCGTTTTTGAAACGTGTTCGAACGGCGTTTGGGGGTGAGGATTTTTCAGGCGTAAACCGGGCGGGACGTTTCGGGTGGACGATACAACTTGGGAGCCACAGCGCCACCCAATATATATAATGGTGGAAAAGCTATGAAAGATGTATTGCAACAGATTCCGGGACCAGGCGGGTGGGGACTATACCTTGCATTGCGCATGTCAACATTCCATTCTGGTAGGCTAGGTGTCAATCACTTTATTCACCACTCCTGGTGCCTGACTGAGCTGTTCAAGGGGCAGGCATCGCAGATGAGCCGTGGGAAGGGTCACCCCAGGAATTGGACTGCCGTGGTCAGGAGCCAAGTTTCTCTTGGTGTTACAGTGAATTCTTGGAGGGATGGATTTGTGACACATCTGAATCCCAAGTCCCACAAAACGTAAACGTCATCAAACGACCCACATCACTAAACCGCGCAGAAAACACGCCAATGGGTCTTCACCGGGAGGTGAGAAGCTCTCGGTGGGCGACTTTAGCCTGGGCAAGACGCTGGGCACGGGAGCCTTTGGACGAGTGAGGTTTGTCACGCACAAGGCCAGCGGAAGGCACTACGCGCTGAAGACCTTGAAAAAGGCCGGCGGGTCAAGAGGAGCAGCGAGAGTGGAAAACGTCAGCTGGGTTTGGGTCATCTACAGATGATTTGGAAAAGTACTGTGATTTATTTGGGAAGCTACTGTATTCATTTGCATTCATATATACTTCCTAAATCTACCAGGGGTGCGCTGGTCATGTTGCTCGAAGTGGGTGGGTTGTGTGCAAAGCTGGTGGAGCTAGAGGGCTCGACATGGGTTTTAGTGCACCTGCTCACTGCTCATGCTTGTTCCTGCTCGTGCTCGTTCAGCTAAAGCACTTGAGTGGTCGAAAGAAGAAACTTTAACCACTGGTTCCTAACCAGTGTGTGTTGTCCCTTTTTCTATGCTGTTTCTGTTGTGCTTTTGTGGCTCCCTATTTTGAGACTGTATACATACTTCTCTGGTCAATTGAGTCGAGTCAGAGCAACGTGCCTCGCACCGTCAGGCGGCTATCATCAAGATGAAGCAGGTTGACCATATCATGAGCGAAAAGCAGTCATACCCTCAATCTTTGACATTGAGTGAAGCCATTGACTTGCTTCTTTCACATTTGCCCTTCATGATCCTGCCCCCCAAATCCAAGGATTCTGGCCAAGTTGCAACACCCATTCATCGTGAACATGTTTGGCTCCTTCCATGACCCACGCTATATCTACATGGTCTTGGAGTACATCGTCGGCGGGGAATTCTTCACTCACCTCCGAAAGGCTCGGGCGATCGCTGCGCTTGGCGATCACTGCACCATGTGCCCCCAGTTAGAGGGATGCCACCCTCATTCCCGTCGTGCCAGCGCCTGTCGTGAGATCAGCCAAGTCCTGTTGACACCTCATTGTTTTAGGGCTTCAAAGGCACTGAGGATACTGTTGTTATTTGTTGTTCAAAGAATGGCAAAGAGACGATTGCGCAAGGTAAGTGGGAAGGGGAGAACATCCTTCGTTTGAAGCACTCGTATCTACATTGTAAATATATATATATATATTGTCAAGTGAGGTTGTGTTCCCAAGTTCGTCAATACCTGTCTCCATGGCAAGCAGATGGCAGGAACATGTAGTGTGCCGATTCTTGCCCTTCGCATGTCCATGGTCTTAATTACAGCCAACAGACAATTCCCACACCCAAGCATTCCAATCTTCCAAAGCTTAAGCTTAACCTAGTGCTGCAGGTGGGGTGTAGAACAACATCCTGTCGAATACTCCCACCGGGTTTCGCCATGCAAGGCTGGCCGTTTTGAGAATGAGCAGTCCCTGTTCTACGCGGCGCAGATCACTTGTATCTTTGAGTACTGCCATGAGCTGAACATTGTCTACCGTGATCTGAAGCCGGCCACTTGGACTTAGATGTCGGCACCTGAAACCGAGAGAGATGGGGCACCTGTGATCTCCGTGTATTCCGAAACGGTCTGTGAAAGCAGGAATCACATGTCCAACTCCAAGGGACTCCGGGAGAATGGAAGAGATACACTGAGTGTTCTGGGCGGTTCTGCAACACTTGGTCTTCCGGCCAAGCTGCCCGCCAAAACCAAGTTTGTTTGGTCGTTGATTTGCAGACACACCACGAAGGTTGCAAAATGAACTTCGAAACAGCGGTGGCTGGTGCTGTTTCAATGGTTCAACTGGTTTGAGCAACCCATGCAAAACCACTAAGCCAGGGAAAACGCTTCCATATCTTCCATGGCAAGGAGAATTGTAAATCATAAAAAATTGTCGCCTTTGTTTTTTTGTCAAGAGTGTAGTGTAGCAGCTTTGGATTTCCAAAGCATCCAAACGTGGGGAAGGGGAGCACTTAGCACCCTGAAACCTTGAAACACGTCTCAACCTCACTATTGCGTGTACTACCTGTCAAGTCCCTTTGGGCTTCCTTAAGATCTGGCCAACGGGTTTAGATCGTAGATGAAGCAGAAGACCACTAAGTGGACGGGGTGTATGTATTTCTGGGTGTTGCTCGTTAGTATATTTTGCACCCAACGTTTACCAGTCTGATCCAATCTGCATGTGGGTATGACTCCGTAGTTTTGACGTGTTGCCACTTGTTTGCGTCACATAATTCGTTTGAGGCTTTTCGAGATTCTGAAAAAAAATCCTTGTTTCAGGCCTCCCGGCACGGACTCAAAAAATCTGCTCTCCTGGCCCAGGAGAACATTTTGATCAATGCCGATGGCTACGTGAAGTTGACGGACTTCGGCTTCGCCAAGGTCATCGAACACCGCACCTACACGCTTTGCGGCACGCCAGAGTACATCGCGCCAGAGGTCTTGCTGAAGCTCGGATCGTCCTGCGGATCGTGTGGGTGGTGAAACAGTCGCGCGTCTTCCGTCGGACTGGAAGAACAGCGGTACTACACCGTGATAGATACTACACCAGTGAGTTCGGTCCCTTCGATTTGCTTAAGGGACCTGCCGAAAGACCCTGCAAGCAAGCGTTTGAGCGTTGACGATCTCATGAATCAATTGACCTTCAACCAATTGGAATAGTTACAGTAGGTGTCAGGGAATCCAGAACTGTCGGAGAGAACCACGTCGTGCTGGATGACCTGCAAATGATCGTCATCAGCAGTTCTCCAATCATCAGCCGTGGAATTCGTGCAGAATTCTAAAGAGATGCCAGTCATGTGCCTGCTGTGCCCAGGAACAAGGGCCATGGAAAGCCAGTGGATTGGTGGACCCTCGGCATCCTCATCTACGAGATGATTGTCGGTTGCTCGTCTTGAAGAAGTGCTCAGCATTTCTTCGTCGCCCAGAAATCCTGGGTTCATTTCTCATAAGATGCAATACAAGTTACTTGTGTAGTGTTTGCCTTAGATTTGGCGGGTGTGCCTTTTGATCCTTTTTGATCCTTTTTATGGGTTCAGGGATTCGATACTATCAAACATTATCAAACTGTGTATACAAGACTTCCACCACAGACAGAGCAGCACCAAAGAGAGAGAGAGAGAGAGGGAGAGAGAGAGAGTGTGTGAGTGTGTGTGCGTGTGTGTCGGTGACATGTTTGGATCGCAGCATTGTTTGGACAGGAAAGAAACTGGTTCGGATATCTTGAAGATGCCCGCAGACCCTGCATGAATTGGCTGGGCATGGCTAGGCTGTCCACTATTCTTTTTGGCAGAGGGTACCTCTCCTGGTATTGCATTCATAGCATGCATGGATGAATATCCAAACTATTGCCATACACCGTCCAAATATATGAAGCTCGCTGCCGGACATGTGAGAAGATTGCCGGGTATGCTATGTCTTCAATTTGGACTTACCTCGTCCATCCTCTATGAATTGGGAGCCCGAATTGAATATGTATATACTATATATATATATACACTGAAGAGTGCCCAGTGCTCAAGCGCGTGCGCTTGATCTTAATTTTGCCAGGCAATGCCCGTGTCGGTCGGCGTGTCGGTCAGCGTGTGAGGTCGCCCCAGTCGACCGACAGCCGGCGACCGGCGACCGATCGAAGGCTATCCCCCTTTCGTCGATGAAGACCCCATGGGCATCTACCAGAAGATCTTGGCAGGAAAGATCACGTTTCCAAAGATCTTTCACAAGGAGGCAGTGCGGGTGGGGGGCACCCTCAGCACAAGGTGCTGGTATTCCTTTAACTCCTTGTAACTACAACTACTGAGTTGTTTTTCAAAGCGATCTTTTTCATGTGAAATGCTCATAGCCCTCCTAGTCACTCCTGTTCATCCAACCGCTGCGGCACAAGCATGCACCAAACAGATGCTGAAAGTTCCTTTTTCGGACACAGGTTTGAATCCTTGGAAAAATATGGCCAAGGTCTATCACCGTGTCATGTGGCTGTGTGTTCCAATCTGTTGTCAATTTGGTGCCTCATGTGTCTTTGATCTCAGCATTCTTGGGGTCCACATCAGCCGGCCCCGTCGGCCACGACCGACGGCCAGGCTAAGAGCTTGGTGAAGAAGTTGCTGACCCCGGACTTGGGCAAGCGCTTCGGGAACTTGAAGAACGGCGCCGCGGACATCAAGGAGCACAAGTGGTTCAAGGATCTCAGCCACTTGGAGTTTTCGGCCGATGGGAGCCGTTTTCACCGACGAAATCGATCGATCGAATCGGTGACGTCGTGTGGGACGTGAAGGACGCGATGGGATAGTACGCCGGTGGAAGGCCCGGAAAGAGAGTGGGGAGACTTCTTCACATTCACCCACCACACGGGTTTAGAACTGTGCCTTCTATTGCTACATGAACCAGGGGTGCTGGTTAGGACAAGAGCAGTTTTTGTGGCGCGATAGACAGACAGGATTTGATGGGAGCTTCAGAGGATTTCAGAGGGAATTGAGAGGATGGAAGAACATTCTCTCTTTTTCATCAAGCACATTCCAAAACCCGCTAGACCAAATCTGCGTGGCATCGCTTGAAAATGTGACACGACCAGTTGAGTGAAACTGGATGTATGTTATATGCATTCAAATTTATATACATTTGATTATCTGATTGGTCCACCAAGTGGTCCCTCAAGTTCGAAACAATCCAAAAGATTCAAAAATCATGACGATTCTTAGATTTCAGTCACAAAGGAGCGGTGTTTAGTCCCTAAGTGAGTGGATAATGGCACACCCATCCTCCAACGGGCACCCCTTTGTGAGTGCTGCTTCTTGTATTTCTATAGATTTCGCGACTCCGCGCTGTAGTAGACTGTGGCGACAACACTCCGCGACTGGCCGAAGGAGTTCGACGGGACCTGGGGTGCGCCGGAACTCGGTGCACGCACGAGCAGATGGGACCGAGGCTGGGATGATTTGTTGGCCAAGAAGGTGGAGGCTCCCTTTAAGCCATCCGTGAAGGGTGCCACAGACACCAGTGCTTTGGCAGTGAAAAGATGTGAAAATTGATCGACGTGAAAGCACAGAGGTACAGGTGATCACAGAGGTACAGGGGATTCGTGTACTTTGCATGTATGGCGCTGGCGTTGGTCCGCTTCCTTGAAGAAGAGCGGCTGATTCAGACGAGATCTCATGCAAGCGAGTGGACCAAAGCACCACGAAACAGGGGTGTAAAGCAGTAGGCGATGGAGGGTCTTGATTACAACCCCCCATGTGAAGAGGTTGTACAAGCTCAAATGGATGGCTTTGTTGATCAAGAGATCTGCATTAACTATATGGGGTCTAATAAGAATCGCTTTGTAATCCCTGACTGCCAGACCACTTTTTTCAGTTCGATTTTGTGGGAGCCACTTCCTGACTGCCGCACCATGCGCCAAAGGTGCGTATGTGGACTAGCCATGTGCGTCGCATTGTTGGCTTCTGTTTTTGTGGATTTGCCACTGACCCAGTCTTAGCAGAGTAGGTCTCAGGTGCAAAAAGACCTATACTGTTATCCGTTCTTTGGATCAACAACCACAATCACTGAATCTGAAGCATAGAGAAGTCCCCTTCGTGCTGACTCAGTGGTGTGAGATGGGGACGAAAGAGGTCTTTCGTCCCTCCACTGCATCACACGTCACACAGTCAGTGCTCCACTGTCCTTCATCCCCTGCTCCTCCTGGTGCCTACCCAGGCAACTTCGATGACTACCCAGACTCAGATCAAGAGCCTCCCGCGGTGAACGCTTCGCAAGATCCCTTCACCAACTGGTGGCTTGGCAGATCGATTTCCTGCAACGGTTCAACAGAAGACACTGCCCGAAGCAGTTGTCCCACTAGGGTCGGTTGAAATTAGAATCCCACCGCGGATCCACCCACTGAGGTGAAGAAGTTCGGAAGTTCCTATACGAACCTATACGGCATCAAGTGAGGTGAATGCACTTTCGCACCCAAAGCGTGCGGAGGTTTGCCTTGGAATCTACGCATTCAGCAGCTGGTGTTTCCACTCACCCTTTGGGGCTGAGGAATGCAGAGCCCAGCGACTGGGCGATGAATCATATCTTGTGATGACATGTAAAGTCCATTTCATGTGACACGACTGCAGCTTCGCATTAAGACTCTGAATTGATGATTTTCGCAGAATGAAACACCACCTACCTTGCCTGCTGGGCGTCCAAGCGTCTGAATCAGAGAACGTTATTCAACGTTTGCGATTGCTCCCCGTCGGCCCGAAGTTCCAAGGGTCATCACTGTTCGATGTTAGATGAGAGGTGGGCCGTAGTACGTAGGCTCGACAGAAATTCTATGAGTACATCAAATGTTGAAATCACGTGAAATCACCGGATCCACATGTTGCACGAAGATGAGCCCCCGTGAAGATGGAGCAGCCAAGAATCACAAGAAAATGGCAGGGCAGTTTGAGGCTCGATTGGCATGCTCATCATTCCGGGAGGCAAAAGTGACTCGTAATTGGGGAACAATCGATGAGAGCGAATGCCCTGCGCTGGTTTCACCCTTGTAATTGCAAACTCCTGGTCGAGGACGACGGCGAAAAGGCAGCGAGAGGGGCGGCACGGATGCTTAGGGGCCTGAGCTGTGGTCTGGGTCCTGAGTGGAACTCCAGTGGACTCAGAAATCCGAAGAAAATTGGGCCTGGTCATGGGTTGGTCATGGTGATTTGCGTTATTGGGCGTTAAACTAAGAGGACCTCTGGAACAAAAACTACGCCACCAAAAAGATTCTCTCCTCGCGAGTCTTTGACACAGCACAGCCGCACAGCTTAGGTATTGCTTGGTCCTTGCCAGCAACGAAGGCCAAGACCTCCAAGCCTTCGGCTTCCGGGATGCCTACCTCCGCACCACCAGCCACGCGTCGCTTGGGTTTAGAATGCTTCAGACATGTTTAGACACTTTTCCGGGTAGATCGGGTACGTGTGTATAATACGGACCTGCAGCATCTACGGATTTGAAGGGATCTGTTAGAGACGGGCCGTGTGAGACACACCTGAGGGGACCGTCTCGCGTGTTTCGTTCGACCTGTTCCAAACTTGCACCCCCCCCTGAAAGAATGGTTTCGTGAAGTGAAAACCACCATGCTTGGTATTCGGATCTCATGGTCCACCGAACGAAAGGGGCCATGCCATCCACGGAAGTGCACCATGAGTCTTTCAGGAAGTGCACCTCACCTCACCAGAATCCTCGGAAGCAGATTGATCGCTCCGTGCGCTTTGCACACAAAATCTCGACCCACACGGAATCGAGGTACACCACCAAGATCCTCGACAGGCGGGATGTAGTTCTTCAGAAGCGGAGGGGGAACTCTGGGTCAGGTCAAATAGATGCTTGACTGGACGCAGAGAGAGGTAAGCATGATCGAAAAAGACCAACCTTAGAAACCCCAAGGCCGTGTAGTGGGATGACCTGCCGTGTAGTCTACTTTGTGAACCATTTGGTGAACCAGTGAACCAGGTGTTTTGTGAATCATTCAATCATCTAGAATCAACCAGGCCCAGATTCGGTGTTTATTTGCAGGATGGTTCATCTCAACAACGACGCAGTACAGAAGCAGGGCGAGGAGTACGGGAAGTTCGAGACAGGGAACAAGCTTTCACTGGAAGAGTTCCAGAAGTTTCTGGATGAACATGTGCCTCGTTCTGCATGCTTCATTGGGACCAGACCAAATGGTGGTTCTGGAGGCTTCGTCGTTCTGGAGGCTTCGTCGGAGCTTGACCAATCTTTGATCTGGAAGCAGAAACAGCTTCCAGAGAGCAGAAGCAAGAACAAGGAAAGACCCACGGGTGCTCGTTGTCAGCAAATGGAAAAAGAAATTGAGGTGCAACCTTTTGAGCATTTTGAGCCATGGACCCACCAGCCAAGTATAAACCCAAAGCCACCGAGAATCGACCGATCAATGGACCCACCGAGTCCGAACCCAGCGCCCAAGGCCTCGCGCAAGGTCCACGTCCGAGAGGAGTTGATGCCCAAATGCCATGCGCTTATGGCAGATGTGTCGGGGCTGATATGATGGTGGGTCAGGGTGGACGGTCGACGTGTCAAGTGATTCGAGGCTTTTGGTGTCCAGGGCTTGGTGTTCTTTGTGATATGTTGCGAGGGAAGAATCTCCGATGAATCTTATCGTTCGGGTGGTGTGTATGTGTGTGTATGGGTGTGTGGGGGGGGGTTGTGTGTTCTTTCGTGGGACGGGAATTGAACCTGCTGGAAAGGAAGAGCTCTATGGCCCTATCACCAGGTTTGGCCAAGTGGCCAACAGGTGCCGTTTGCCGTCCATCCACCCGAGAGATTTGAGGCCATTCGCTCTGCGGCAGAGAAACTCAATGTGCGGAAGATCAAGAACTGCTTTGAGGCCAAGGGACTATGATTGGGGATCTCTTATGGCGTTGAGGTGTTCGTGGTTTTCCACATTCACAGGGCCGCAAAGTTGCACGTAGTCTTCCAAGGGTGTGGTTTGGTCGCTTCTCTAGTACTTCTCTATTGGTGAAGAAACCTAACAACTGAAATACAGACAGGAGCATCAAAACATCAAAGGAATATGGCCTCTCAGAAAACCCTCCGAGAAATAGATGGAGCAGACCGAGCCTCCGCCAAGCCTCCCTGAGATGACTGCGACCCCACAGCCATTTGGCTCCAAAGCCCTGGAGTGACTTGGAGGCTGACTAGGTCTTTCAGGTCACCGCAATGCAGTATCGAAGCCTGTGGCTTGTGGCCTCCTTACTTTGTGCCTCTGCCCTCAGATCCAGAAGCAAGGAGAAGTTACTTGGAGAGACGGGGACGTTTTTCAGGCCGTTCACGAGGACTGGGTGATGAGTGCACTGCAGAGAGCTGGAGGTGATTGGATGATTTGATTCATGGGCACGATTGACGGCCATTGTAGATGAACATCGAAGAACACACGAATTCATGTGACTAATGATTCCTGTCACAAAATGTCACAAATGAAGGTCGATTCTGTTGAGGACTCTTGTTTGGAGTCCTTACATCAACGGTTTACAAACCAAAATATGATAGATCAGGATCGTTTTGGCAGTCAAAACCTTGCCGGAGATGACATGACAAAAACCTTCGAAGTTCCCCATATTTCATCCTCGGGCCGCCATTCATGGCTTTTTCCGTCCAGCTGCAGAACATGGACCAGGCACTTTGTAGAGACAAGAAGCTTGCTGTTCCTCGGAACGACCGGGTCGTTGTTCCTCTCCAAACGAACACCCCCCAGACCCATTCGAACGGACCCAACGAGCCGATCTTGGCTCTACACACCGATCTGGGTAGCCGAGCCTCTAGATCTGGGCCGATCTACTTCACACGGACATCCCCTGAGGTTTGGCTTCTATTTTCCAGTGCATTCTCAGATCCCTTCGACTCTGAACGTGGTGCAGTCCGTCCGGAAGTTCTACCCCACTGCCCCGCTCTACCTGCCGCTTGGGCGTGGGACAGAACCCCGGGTTTGTCCGCTGGACGCGTGAACAGGGCGACCCACGACCCCGGTGGTCCACAGATCGTTTTGGGTCAGGGCCCCCGAGCCAGGGGTGGTTAATGGCTTAGGGGCCCTGGTGGTCGTTTGTTTGGAAAGATGTTTGTGACGGACGAGACGGGTGGAAGAGAGACTGCAGGTCAGCAGAGAGCCTGAAACAATAACGTGTGTTTCGGTGGGGAGAGGTTGCAAGACGCTTTAGCTATGTAGCACATGCAGGAACCCTCAGGAAATTTCAGGACAATTCACAAAATTATATATGTTGGACATGCCAAACGCTGACAACATTGTCATATTCTGGGATGTCATTGTGACATTGTGTGTGTGTGTGTGTCCACCCCTGGACCAAGGGTTTCGTCCAACCGATCCACCTGCCACTTGTACCACCACCGATTCACAAGCAGGGGGCAGGAGTGCCATTGCAAGTCTCCTGCCAACGAAGACGCTTGCAATTGGCAGTGAAACCAGACCTGATCAGTCTGGCGTACCTGCGACTTTGAACTTTTGACCACGCTGTTCCAATCTCTCTTGTTTGCTTCCATGGTGGTTCCACGATACTTCCCCCTAAACCTTTTCCTCCCCAGCAGCGCTGCAGCTTGAGCCGCTTCGTCACCGCAGTCAAGAGAAACAACCATTGTTCAAACACCTACAATTTCTCGGACTTTTCGCCATGCTGTTCCACCGCCATCCTTCCCATCGCGGTAACTGAGTCACTGAAAACCAATGTCAGAGTGTGTTTCGCTCAGCCGTCCCACTCGGGTGCTGAGTGTGATCCCCGTCACAGGGGCGCCGTTTTTGCATAGGAAATCATCCACCCCAACTTGCCACCTTTCACCGGATTTCCACTGGAAGTCATTGACACACCCATCGAATCAACTGATGCATTGGCCGCCGGGCCTAAACACGGCAGCTTTCCTTTCACTGAAGGACTTTCTGACCAGTCTTGCAAAGAGTTTTTGCATGATCTTACATGTAGTGACTTTTTGACCTGTGCCGTGACCTTTCCGTCAGAAGAACTCAAGCCCGCATACCGGAGTTCTCAAATCTAATTCGAGATGCATGACCACACCCTACAACAATTTTACTTGTCACATCAAGCTCACCTTCACAGCATACTTCCTTTCAACAAGAGCAATGCGACTTTCAACATCACCATGACAGGAAGCTGCTGCAGCCGAGCTAGTGAGGCTTTATGTCCAAAAAAGGACACAACCACCACGCCTGCCACCGGTTTTTGAAAAAGCG